TTCTGTTGCAGGTCGCCGGCGACGTTTGATAACATGCACTGCACAATATGCAGACACTTCATGTTGATCATGATTTCCTTGACTGCCTTTGCCCTGGCCTCTTCTTCACTGAGCTCGGGACTCTTGTTCCGGCTCCCACTCCTCGTGGGGGTGGTATCACCACTGACCTCGGACCTCGCCGAGTGAAAGCTGTCGTCGGTACGGTCATCAGGCGCTGGGTCGTCAACGATAGTATCGTGAACGTCAGCAACAGCCTCCAATACCACCGAGCAGAACTCCTTCTCGCCGGCGTTGTCCGGAGCACAAATGTCTCGAAGAACGTTGATCGTGAGCTTTGTTACATCGTCAGGGAGCTCGGGGACTGAGAGGGATTGGCGGAGGAGCGCAAACATCTTGCGACGGCCAACCTCATCGGAGTAGTCAAGAGTGATGGCAATGTGGAGCATCTGCTCAACAATGAACTCTTGCTCTACCGTGTCCTCTTCTTCATCTTCTTCGCTATCTGCCTGAGAGACCCTCTTGATAGCCTCAATTAGAACGCCGAGGTATCTTTCCAGATAGAATGCGAGCGTAGTCACTTCAGGCAGCTTCTCCTCGACCAGTGACTCGTACTTGCCATTGCCCTCGGTTCTGCAGAAGTCGTTGAAACTGCGAGCGGTAAAGACGGACTCTGCAGAAAGCGTCTCCCAAAAGTTCTTATCAAAGGTGACAGCTTCTCTGTAATCGGGTCTACCCTCCCAGAATCCCTTCATCGCTTCGAGGGCAACACCATTTTCCACTCCAGAGTTTACGACGTCGATACGCTCCAGGAGCTCGTGAAGACCGTCGAAGTTCGGCGGTGCAGGTTCAGTGGGTGGCGCCCCCTCCTCAGGCGGCGGAACACCAGCGCAGTCCTCGATCCAGCGTTCGCGGAACAGCCTGCCCGCCGATTTGCGGACATTCTCGTCTCTGTCGCGGAGACCCCATCTGAGGAGCTTCTCTCTCATTGAGAGAGAGAGATGTCGGAAATCGCCGAGGGCGGGTAGCAGTCGCGAGTATACCGCCCTGCGAGTCAGAGCATCCTGGTCTCTAGCGCGTTCGAGCAAGTATGGTAGGGTGGATGGGAGAATAGGGAGATTGACGAGAAGTGACCTTCTCACATCTGCGCTGGGATCGTTCTGTATGACCTCTAGCAGCTTCTCGAGAAGGCCGCTAGCCTCGTCGTCCTCGCTATCGTCCTCGTTCGCGGCCGCATCAACCTGATTGCCGGCCAAACGTCCCAGACCCAGGACCGCCTGTGCACGAACCATTGCCTCCTTGTCACGGATACGCTTAAGAAGACCATGGCGAAGTTTTTGGAAGAGATCGTCGTCGATGGCGTCGAGGGAGTTGATGATGTGAGAGATCAACTGGGTGGATCGGTATCGCACAAACTTGTCCTTGGCCGTCATCAGGGGCAAAATCGTGCTCATGAGATAGCTGGTGAGTCTTGTGCTGGGGGTCTCGGGCATGATGCTAGCATCCTCGTCGACCTCTCCAAGAATCTCGTTGTCTTTGTCATTGGCGTGTCTAAGGAAGAATCCGACAAATCGAATGGTCTTCTCTCCAACACTCTCTGCCTTCTTGATAGGCATAACTCTCAGGACACATCGGACAAACTCGGAGTTGAAGGCTTCCTCATCGAAGTCGTTTGCTGCGGTCTTCTTCAGACTGGTCGGTTCGTATGCGCAAGCTTCCTGAATCTTGCGCAATGTGACAACCAACTTGCGGTGCGATGCTGTATTTCTTTGCGCATCGCGGAACACGGCGCATACTTGGCCGCGGAGCTCACTGTCCGGTCTTTCTGTTGGGATGTCTGCGGCGACTGAAGAGGAGCGGGATGCTGTTGATGCTCGGGAGCCGAGGGTCGCTGCGGAGGATTTGTGCGACACCGCCGCTGAGGTCCTCGTGGACCTTGTCGATACTCGTGCTGGCATAATGAGGTTTGTCGTCGTGTATTGTCGTTATATGGCGGCGGATCGGTCGAGACCGCGTGAAACGTCGGAAAAGTTGTCGTTGTTAATGAAGCCAAAAAATGATGTGTTTGTTGATTAGTCTCAAGGATGGATGACAGGCGCCTCGTTCGCGAATTAGCTGCCAACGCACACAATTACAGTGGATGACTTACCCCCCGGCGCGTTTTTGTTTTTATCCAGTCTGCAACGGGCAAGTCAATAGACTTCCGAAACAGGTATAGCGCGGGGTCGGTCAAGTTCATCCCCGCTTCCCGACTCCAAGTGCCCGCACGTGGTGATAAGCTCAGAAAAAAATCCTTATCGAAGAATTTGGCAGCAGCGAATTGCCAGCCATTTCCTGCGCAGAGAACGAAGCCTCTCCACAACCTCCTACGGTAGTTGAAGTTTTCAGCTTTAACTGGTCCATTCTTTCTCTTGAGAAGCCGTTTGCAGGAATTTTTTCTTTTAATTTCGATTATTATTGCACAACATGTCGTCTCCCGGAAAGCCGCTCAAGCGGTCACGAGCGGAGGAAGACGAGCACGATGCTCTCGTCGCAGCCGCCGTCGCAGAGAACATCGCCGCAGACGCTGTGTCGGAACCGAAAGCCAAGAAGGCCCGAACAGAAGCCAATCGCTCTCTCTTCGTTCGCTCCCTACCTGCGACCGCTACCAGCGAATCGCTCACCGATTTCTTCTCCGAACATTTCCCTGTCAAGCATGCGACCGTCGTTCTCGACAAGGCGACCAAAGCTTCCCGAGGCTATGGCTTCGTTACATTGACAGATGCCGAAGATGCTACGGAGGCCAAGAAGAAGCTCAACAACATTCTCTGGGAGGGACGCCGCATCAAGGTCGATGTTGCCGAAGCTAGAACTCGTGACGCAAAGGAGAGTGCCGTTGGCGCGGCTGCATCTAGCGCAAAGCAAAAGCGTGCGGATGATCTTGAGGAGGCAAGGAAAGCCCCGAAGCTGATCATTCGCAACCTTCCTTGGTCTATCAAGTCTTCTGCGCAGCTGGGTGCGCTTTTCCGCGCCTATGGTATTGTCAAGTTCGCCGATCTTCCCCAGAACAAGGGCAAGCTCAAAGGATTTGGTTTCGTTACCCTTCGCGGCAGGAAAAATGCCGAGAAGGCTTTGGAGATGAACGGAAAGACCATTGACGGAAGAACCATTGCCGTTGATTGGGCTGTGGGCAAGGACGAATGGGAAAAGGCCAACGGCGCTAGGGAAGAGGAAAGAGGTTCAAAGAAGAAAAAGGAGGAGGAGGAAGAAGAAGAGGAGGAGGAAGATGCAGCCGGAGACGAGAATGCCGGCAAGGAGCTCACCGGAGCTGACGCAGATCTGGAAAACTTCATGAAGAACCACATCATGAACCTCGAGGACGAGGACGACGAGAATGAGGACGAAGACGAAGACGATGAGGATGATGAGGAGCTTTCCGACGGAGAGGAAAACAGCGAAGACGAGGAAGAGAAGAAGCCCGCCAAGAAAACGCAATCTACCGACAATACATCAACACTCTTCATTCGAAACCTGCCCTTCACCGTTACGGACGACCAATTAAAGGAGCATTTCGCCAAGTTCGGTGCCGTCAGATACGCTCGCGTAGTGATGGATCGGGCAACTGACAGACCGGCGGGTACCGGGTTTGTCTGCTTCGTCAACGAGGAAGACTCAAAAGCCTGCATCAAGGGCGCGCCGCGTACACAAGCCAACACCCTGCCCACAAAGCACTCTGTGCTGCAGGACGAGTCCGCAGACTCCGACGGCCGTTACACCTTGGAGGGCCGTTTGTTGCAGGTTGCTCAGGCAGTCAGCAAAGATGATGCCGAGCGCTTGGCTGCCGACGGCAGTGCCAAGAGACGGGAGAAGGACAAGCGTCGTCTTTTCCTGCTCAACGAGGGCCAGCTCGATACTAGATCTGCTTTGTACCACAAGCTCACGCCCAATGAGGTGAAGATGAGAGAGGACAGCGCCAAGCAGCGCAAGAAGCTCGTTCAGAGCAACCCTTCGCTGCACATCAGTCTCACCCGTCTGGCTGTCCGCAACATCCCCCGCAACATCGGCGGCAAGGAGCTCAAGGAGTTGGCCCGCAAGGCCTGCGTCGAGTTCGCCACAGATGTCAAGGAGGGCAGACGTCAGCCCCTGTCCAAGGAGGAGAAGGTCAGAAGCGCAAAGGAGGACAAGGAGGCTGAGCACGACCGCAAGCTCAAGCGCAAGGGTATCGTCCGCCAGGCCAAGATCGAGTTTGAGAGTCGCGAGGGCACCAAGGTCCCCGAGGCGAGCGGCGGCAAGTCCCGCGGATACGGTTTCATCGAGTACTCGTCCCACCGCTGGGCGCTCATGGGCCTGCGCTTCCTTAACGGCTACCAGATGGAGAATGAGCTCGGCAAGAAGCAGCGCCTGATTGTCGAATTCGCCATCGAGAACGCCTCGGTCGTCGCTCGTCGCAAGGCCAACGAGAAGAACCTGGACCGCAACAAGCCCAACTCGCAGACGGCTCCTCAGGCCGCGCAGAACGGGAAAAAGGGCGGCAAGTTCGACAAGAAGGCCGGCGGCAAGGAGCTGCCCAACATGGCTTCTGTCAAGGACCAGAAGAAGGGCAAGAAGGGAAAGAAGGGAAACATGAATAAGGGACCCAAGGCGGAGAAGGAGGAGAACGGAGAAAAGTCTAGTGGTGACAAGACGCCCGCGGGCAAGGTTGACCGTGAAGATGTCAAGCCATTGCTCATTGCGAGAAAGCGACTGATGAGGAAGAAGAAGGCTTCATCCCGAGGCTAGGTTGTTTGGTCAAAGGGCAGTTCTTGTGTGGGGAAGGTAATTATGGGCGACTTGTTATTTAGGTGTCTGATGCATCGCCAAGGTTATTCAAAAGTATCAAATTTCAAATGTACACGGCAAATACTCCCTGCTTTATCGTGAACCTACCATCTTCATGCTCATTCAGGTAAAATGACAAGTTGGCGTGATGTTGAAGTAGACTTCGTACGCACAAGTGGTACGCGCGGGTTCCTTATTAACAAATTGTCCATATACCTACACGTCAAGAAGAAACCCAATTCCTTCCACACGCGCCTTTAAAAATGATGGACAGGTGTGATGTGAGTGTGACACCACCACACGCAGTATTCCGAATTGCAAACTTTCTCTCTACCAGGAACGCCGATATGCAATGCTTGGCGGGAAAAAACAATGATGACGCCTCCCTTCCAAAATCCCATTTGAACCCCAAACATCGGCGGCAATCCAAGTCCACTCTTGCTCTTTCTCATACCTCCTCTTCCGGATCTGTACCGCCGTCCCTCCTCTTCTTCTTTACCCTGAAAAAGTCGCCCAGGGTATCGCTTAGGCTCCGCTGCCTTCCAGTGACTTGTTCACGAGAAGCGCCCTCGCCCGCCGTGCGACTGCGCTCCGCAACGCCACCGTCTTGATCGTCTCCTCTGCTTACTAAATTTTGCCTCTCGGCGTCCACGTCTGCGCCCTCGCCGTTGTCCTCGGGCATGAAAAGGCTTGCTCTGATGCTGGAACGCAGCCGACGCACCGACGGCCTACGCAGGAGCGGACTCTCTGCGTTCCTGAGAAGAGTGTCCTTGACGACGGCACTCACGGTAGAGGAGAGGGGGGAGGGGGAGAAGAGGGGCCCTGGGTAGTTGTGGCTGTGAGGTCGGGGCGGTAGTGATGTGCGTGGTGTAACAGGTCTGTCTGTTGGGTTTGTAGGATATCTAGGTTGGATCTGGCCATCGTAGTAAGGCGTTGTCGGCTCTGACGGTGAGAAGCCGAAGCCGGGGAAGGTATGTATTGACTCGTCTGATATGGTCCTGACGCCTGGCGGGGGAAGGATCTCTTCTGTCGCCGAGTTGCTCCAGGGGTTGGCTAATAGCGGTTCTGACTCGGCGCCCGTAATGTTTCCCGCCGAAGCCGCTGTAGGAACGCGAAGGGTTGGAATGCCGGAGTCACGCTGTAAACTGAACGGCTTTGACCCGTTGTTTACGTTGTTTCCGTTTGAGGCTCGAGACGACCGGCGTGAGATTGACGAGGGAATGGAGGTGGAAGAGGGCGCGAGCGGTTGTGTCGGGCTGTAGCCGTCTTGCTCAGCCAGACCGATCGTTTCCTCTACGCCATCCACGTCAGACATGCCATCATCCATGTCTTCCTCAACTCTACCACTAGTAATGAGGAAGACGCCGAAGAAGGTAAGCAAGCAGCCTCCAACGAATTTCCCAGCTTGCTCAGCCGAGGTTCTCTCAAAGTCGCGGTAGAGCACGGCGCTGCCAATGATGACGCTGAGAGTGAAGAGGACGAACTGGATGGGGATGACTTGGGTCGAGCTGAATCTCTGCAGTGACTTGTTGACGTAGCGCACCTGCATCACTGCCGTGAAGAGTAGAATGAAGATTAGTGCCCATGCCACGGGAGTCTTGAACGCAGCCAGGAGAGTCGTCGATAATATTGAAGACAAGCCCTTGGTCGAAAGAGCCGTGAAGCCGCCTAAAAGAAACAAACGTTAGGATATCATCGTGCGTACGCCCGTCCAACGTAGAAAGTACATACCAAATAATCCCACGAGGCCCAGATCAATCAGGATAGTCCGGTGGCCATACCTCGGGCTCGCCCACATTAGGATGACAATCAACGAAATCGTTACCGCCAAGTATATTTCGAATGCCAAAGTCGTAATCGCGTCCCACACATCGTCGGGGTCGAGCTTTGTCTCCTCCTGCTTGGCACTCAAAACTACAACGACTACTCCCGCCACGGCGATGACGACACCACCAAAGTCGCGCCGCCTGAACTTCTCATTGAATAGTATCGGCGCAATAATGCAGTTGGAAATCAGGGCGACGACGCCCAGGGGCGAGACAATGGAAGCGGGCGCGAAGCCGTACGCCAAAAAGTTGCCCAGCTCGCCCAATGTAATCAGGATCTGACCCGCCCACCAGTACGGCGACTGGAGATACGTCGAAGGGGCCTTTTCCTCGTCGCCGGAGTAGTCGGAGCCAGCGGACTCTTCGGATCGGAATGATCTTCTCAGAGGCTCGGATTCGCCGGCATCGTGGTCCGTATTCTGCACGTTCTCTGGTAAGTCTCCATCTGTGATTCCTCCTCTTCCACCTCCGCCAACGGATCCATATGGCCCCGTCTGGCCTCCGCTCGGCGCATGCTTCAGAGCCTCTTTCGCCCTACGTCGGACCCGGATGCGTTCACGGTGAAGTCGAAGGTGGGCGTATCGCTGGACGTTGAGGGCGAGTGCGATAAGGACGTTGCCGACGATGGCGGTGATGATGCCGATGAGGGAAGACCAGTTCTGCAGGTCCTTTCCATCGTCGCCCGGTCGTGCCGCTGGCTCGGCAGCGATGACCGCATCGGCGACCGTCATGACGACTCGCTGGGTCGTGTATGTCGAGGCGAGGTTGAGTGGTACAATATCGTATCGCGGTCGGTCGGATCACAAGCTAAATTTTCGAAGCAGCTGGGGGGTTTTGGTGCTAGTTTGGCGCAGGTTGGAGATAATGACGACGGCGCGAATTGAGTCGCCTGTCATCCAAGCGCGACGGATGGTTGGACACGGCCAAGACGCAATACCATCTGGACGGCGCAAATGATGAGGGGGGATAGGGACCTCAAGCTCTGCGAGAAAGCAAATCGTCGTAGCCGGCCATGAGGATTTGCGTCAAGAATAGGATTTCAAGGTTATTGTCGTGATGTTGGAAGGATAAAAGATAGCTTATGGAAGGTAGGCAGTAAGAAGGTACTTAGGTACGGGACTGGAATAAGATGGATCAATCAAGATTTTAGTACAGGCGTTTAGCAGCCGCTACTCCGTACTCCCGTTCGATGAGGTGTGAGCCTGTGAGGTACTGCTACTTGGGTGACGCTCCTCCTGCCGCGACTTTCTCCTCTTCTGGGTCCGACACTCAGTTTCGACACATCGGTCGACAATACAAGCCCGACCCGACTCTGACGCGCGGGTCTGGGCATTTTGGGAGCATGAAAGTGAAAGCACGTTCCCACATTCAATCAGAGGGGGGCAATCAATCCCCCGGTCAAAGAGCCCCCAAAACTACGTTCCTCTCAAAGGAGGTCCCTGAAAGAATCAAAGACAGCGAGCATTGAAAGGTGGGGCCCGGATTGATGCTATTAAATGTAAAGTGTGGCTCAGGCAGCATGTGGGGGTTTCCAGGCTTTCAGCATTTGCTGCTCAATGCTGTCATTTCGTGGGCGGTAGAGAAAATTGCAGGCACCTCAGTCGAAAGAGCTCCGAACAATAGTCATCTTGGCATGTGAGAGCAAAGTGTTCCAAGTATTTTGGTGTCTCTGCGTTACCTTAGTCCCGTTCATTCTTCTAGCAGCCACGCCGAGCAAAGGGAACTAACTCGAGCCACAGCTTCAAGTGGGAGGAAGGTACGGATACCTTTTCTCAGGCACTCGCCGAGTCGCCAGAGACAGCGGCTCGCTTGGAACGTAAGACCCCACCCCACACGACGGATCACCCCCCACGACAGATCACTCGATTAGGCCGCATTTTTCCCTCCTTTAATACCACTACTACTACGCTAAGTAAGTATTAAATAATTAAAAAAAATTATAAAAATTATATTAAAATTACTAATAGATTTACTATACCTAAATATATAAAAGAATACGTTAAAAACGCGTTAATAAATGTTAGTTTTAGTAAGTCGATTTAGAAAGCCTTTGCGGATTAAGGAATCCCCTATATAACCTTTTTAAGCTAGTTAAAAAGTATTATAACGGTTAAGAAGTTAAAAAAAGATTATTAAAAGCTTAGTAAATACTAAGAATAATCCTTAGCTTATTAAATAATTATATAAAACTAGCTAAGATTCGCTCTGACTTATACTTAAATTAAAAAGTTCGTAACGTATATTACTTAATAAAGTAGCGATTAGTACTTATTTAGAAAAAAATAAATAAACGGGTTCTTATAATAAAATCCCGCGCTATTAATATTACGGGCTTATTATATAAATTTAAAGTACGTTAAGTCCGTTATTATTAACGTTATAAAAGCTTTTTGAAAAATCTTAATAATCCTAAATATTAATAAGATCCCGAAGTCCTTTTATTAGAATATAAACAAAACGGGATTAATAGAGGGGAATAATAAAGATTATTTAGTACTAAGTAATTTTAAAAAAATTTATTTACGTTTAGACCCTAGGGACCGTACTTAGATATTTATATTTAAGTATATTTTAGTAACTAGCTAGTACTTCTTATTATTAATTATTTTTAAAAAGTAAACGGTATAATAATAGTTCCTAAAGAGATATTAAATTATATTTTATAAAGCTTTACGTCTTTTATAAATAAGTAGACTTTAAATATAATTAAGTTAGAATAGCTACTTAAAATATTTATTTTATAAATAGAAGTAAAAGCTAAGAGACTTTAATTTAAATATTTACTTATTATTAATAGCTATAATAATTACGTTTCTAATAATTTTATATAATAATATTATTTTAAGGGTATTTATTTATATTATTTATTACTGTATTTTAGTTATATTACTTAGCCCCTAGATATCTTAGTATTTTTATTATTTAAAATATATTATTATAATAAGCTTATAAATTACGGTTTTTAGTTTAACTTAGTATTAATTAAAAAAAGAACTTCTGCTATTATTTCTAAGCCTGAGAGTAAACGCTTATAAAATAGAATATATATATTAGTTAGAGGGTAATAAGGCTATAATATATTAATATAAAATAACTATTTAATAAATTTATTATTATAGTATAGTTTATAAACGTTCTACGAGTATTATTATAAGAACCCTTATTACTAGAGGTCCCTTAGATACCCTAAAATTATAATATTATTATCCTTTAAAAATTAAAAAACTTTAAAAAGTACTAAAAGCTCTAAGTACGAAATAAAAGCGAGGCTAATTACAATTCTATTACCTATAAGTTAATATTTAATAAAGTAAATAAGTAACTAAACGCTTAGAACGTAGCCCTAGCTAATACCTAATTAATTATTAAGTTACTAGAGGCTTAGGTATAATTATATAAACTAATTATAAAAGTAAAAATATATTAAAATCTAAATAAGCGATTTATATAAATTAAGGCTATTATAAGGGTAAAGAAAGAAGTTAAAGCTTACTCGTAGCGCTTAGTTACGGTTTTAATATTTATAAACAATATAATAAAAGCTTAATTTATTAGTATATATTTAGAATTTTAAATTTAGTAACGTTATATTACTAATAATTGAATTCGTAATTATAACGTTAAGAAGTTAAACTCCAGAAAATCGTCTATTTTAGGTGATCTGTCGTGGGGGGTGATCCGTCGTGTAGGGTGGGGTCTTAACCGGCCGGGGCAACCGGGCCAAGCCTCGGGGTCCATCCGCGTATCCGCATTCTTCTGGGCCGACGTATTCGTAGCCGTTATCGGGGCGTCTAGCGCCTCGTTTAAACGATTGCACAGTGCACCCGGGGCCACTTACCAGAGTTCGCCATCACACGTGCCTGCCACTGCTGCCAGCCTGAGCTGTGCCTCAGCCATGAACGGGCTGTGGCTTGCGCGTTGGACCTGGGCTTCTGCTCCCGCCGTGCACCATCAAGCCGTGCCGTCACCGTGCTCTCCACCAATCCCAGGTTGTTGGGAAATTGTCGGAACTTCAGAGTCTCCGACCTATCAACTGACTGCATACCTGCTTGCAGACCCCGCCGTTCCCCGATCGCCACTGCCGGGTGACCTGATCTTAAGTCGACAACGTCGTCATTTTCATCGACGGCTGTTCACTCAATTGATTCCCGCAAACAACATCCCATCTTCTCCTATGTAGGCCTCGAGCCTTTGACTGGCAACCGAGGGCAAACTCGCCAACTGTTTACGACTACGCAGCAGAATTCATTCAACAACGCGTCTCATCAACTGAGACGCAGACGCGCGAAAGTCATTGACTTACAGCCTCGAAACACACCCAACAATCCATCTCATCTTAACCATGTCGAACGGCAACTCCTCGGACAACGTCTTCGTCCGCTTTAAACAGAAAGTCGACGACCACGTTGCGTCGGCTTTCCAGCGGTTCCTGGGCATTCCGTCGGCCGTATCACGTCTCAACAGCTCATGGCCGGAACCGCCTATGCCATCCCGTGAAAAAGAGCTTGAGGACACAAGGCCGCTCACCGACGACAACACCAGCTTACAGCCCCGTGTGTCATCCACGCAGCACCCGCACCCCACCGTCTTTGACCTCTTCGGCCCCATGTCGTCCATCTCAGCCCTCTTCAAGGCCGAAGAGGTCACCGAGTCTCTGTACCAGCTCATGTGCTTCTCATTCATCATCGACTCGCCTTATTCACCATTACGACTCCATGATATACCGCAGCCTGTACCTCGGGACCTTCCTAAAGGCGAGGACCCGACCTTATTCGGATTCGAGGATGCGTTTGAGGATCTGCTCATGGTGAGCAGTGGTCAGGGTCTGCCGGACATTCACGAACGTGTCCGCTTCAAAAAGGAAGTTCGCGACTCGTTTCCTCATGGCCTGCCTCCGATGCTTTGGCTTCACCAGCTCACTCGCCAAGGTCTGTGGGATGGATGGGAACCAAGGCCGGAGGTGTTGGATAGGGCCGTGAGTGAGCGTTGGCAACGGTGGTTGCAAGAGCAGAACGATCCATTCAAGGAGCAAAGGACACACTCTTCCCGAGATGACTCGGCCCCGGAGGAGAGGCGGAGGTCTGTCACAGAAGAGAATGCGACACAGGAATCCTCAGTTCGCCCCCAGCAGGACCACGGAGAAACGGAAGAGGATTCCTATTTTTCAGTCATGGGGTCAGCTCGTCTGAACACCTCGCGAGAGACGTCCACATCAACGCCGTCGACCCCGAGAAACTACTCCTCGACGAAGGATCTCTCACCACAAGGTCTACCCCAAGGATGGCGCGTCGTCGAGAAGGTGCAAGAACGAGAGGACGGCAAGGGAAACGTACACATCACCAAGACTGTCACGACCTACAATGAGAGTGGCGAGGAGGTTGGTAAGCAGACGGAGAGACAGTCCAACTACACTTGGTCGGCGAGCTTCTCGACCGGCGGCTACAAAAACAGGGACCGCGACCAGCGAGAGGACGACGGTATTGACGATAAGGGCAGCTGGTTCTGGAAATGAAGCTGGATATTTTGGGTCTTCTATGTTTTCACATCATGGCTTGAGGAGTTTCATTGGGTTGTAACTGGGTTGGGAAACGAATGGAATTTGTAAGAAAACGCCGAACCAAGAGTTTCATACGTGTACAGGTCGGGCGAAAGTTCAACTTTTTGGAAAGTCAAATTCAATGAGAACACATTGTGCGACAAATAAATCTCTTCTGACCTAACAAGATTCGCTACTCCGGCTTATATCACTTGGCAGCCAGAGATGTGTAACCTTTCGAGGTCCATGGTCGAGGGCTCTAAGTCTTCTTTGAGAATACATGACATCTCAGCATTGCTACTTGCAGGACCAATACAATTAGGATCCAACTTTCAAGTGAAATTACACGGAATAATAGCCACAATTTAATGACAGGACATACGCCTCATGACCCCAAATTCGTTGACAACCTCAGTGTAGTTGTAGCGATCCTGATGAGCGTCTTGAGTACACAACACAGACCCAATTCGAATGTCAAGTTACCCTGTCCACCAAGTATCGACACCTGCAGACTTACCCACAAACTATAACGGGACCAGAGTCACCACCTGGAATAAGCATTCTCAGCTAAACCATCCCATCACGATTGTTGCCCTTTTACGGGCGAGGTGAATATACTTCTAGCTTCTTGTCTTTGCGAAAATTTCATAACCACAATTCAGTACCGGTTTTGCTTGTCATGGTCGACGCCGTTCGTGTCCAAGTGCTGCGCTTCACACAACCAGGGCCGTACATCTGGACATCACCCAGCTTACTCTATTCGACCATGCAGAAGGGTTACGGGACACTGATCAGTCACAAACTAACGGCTGTGGACATGGATGGGCCGTTCCAGCTCTATGAATGCGGCGCCGGCCCTCAATTGTTCCCGACAATGTCAACGTCATGAATGCTTCAACATCTGTGGCCGCGTTGTGTAAACTACGCCCAGAGGTACACAAAGTACCAGTGTTTATTGGCCTGCGCTTCCTTGAGAGGCTCATCATGAGAAGGTTACCCATTCTAGGTTGACTATTGGTGCTCATGACAGCTCACCCTATGCAAATAAAGCATTTCTTAACACAGTTTCTCTAGATGCATGTACACAAGCATCTGAGTACCTTGGTATTGAGGGATAAAGTTCTTTGAAATTTACAAGTACAAGACTATAGTTTTAATAGAAGAGTATAGGGCCTACCTAGCACTTGACTTAATATCCTTTTGTCAGCTTGCCACGAGAGAAGGATGACTGTACTGCTGACTGCTTCCCATCGTGTACACAAGCATCAGAGGCTTCATACTCTGAATTAGTCTGTTTCTTGACAGTGCTTGAAAGTCTATCTGATATTGAGGAGAGAAATTCTTTCCCCAAAAGATCAAGAGGTCCTCACCCCTTTCCGGATACTCGGGGTCCATCCAACTCATTCGCTTTCTTTAGAATCATCACGTCAGTACCCTGGTCAACCTTCACTCATGACTGGGTCTGAATGACGGAAAGAGTAACTAAATTTTCTCAATATCGGTGTTGTATCCTGTCATTCCTTCTTTAGGCGGACACCCGACCTTCAACAGCATTCGCTCCCAGCCAGTCGTCCACATCTCGCCTCTCCTAACCCAAACAGCCGGTCCAAATACCAGAAGTCTCCTTAGCTCTCATGAAGAATTTTCTTTATAGCCAAACCCCCATCCTTGGCGTGATGGGCCCAACCGGAAATTCAAATCCATCTCAAGCCAGACAGCCGATAAAGTTTTCGAAGAAAAGACAGGCGAAGAGATTCTTTCACCCCCTTTTCCGTCGTCTTCATGTTCGATATGTAAGGGGGGGGCGTTTATACTCCACGAAGGTTCTTATGCAGCTAATTCCCGTCACTCTATTCTATCACGCCACACATTGGACCGAAGCTTATCATAGGCGATTCGCAATGAGCAAGTTTCCTACATGGCTAGCAACGCTATCTAACAAACCACCGAACGCCTCGCAAGCCTCTAGAACCCGAATCAACGGCACAAGTGGCACACCGGAGCCTTCCCTCTAGACTCTAGCCACCTTAGCTCTCCATCGCTCCCTGGTTCCCGCGAAGGCAGCCGGTCCTCCCCGTGATGATCCGATGTTTACGGTTTACCTAGTCACCCAAAGTAAGGTAGGGAAAGAGAACAAAGTCCTTTCCAACACACACACACACCAAAGGAAGGCAAAATGTACCTTGCACTATACAATGCAAGCTTGGGAAGCCGTTGCCAATAATCAGATGTTCCGGTTCACCAAGTTCGGTTTCGCAGTTGAGGGTGTCGTGCGCAAAAGTATTTCGTCATTTCCACACTAAAGTAGTTTCCAGTAAAGGAGACCAAGACTACTGTAGGTAAGTCATAAACACCATCACCAACCCAACCAACAGAAAACCTCGGAGAATCGGAAGGGAAACAAAACTAAGGCGGACGGACGGGGGAGAAGGAGCCGGCGTCAAATTGTCAACCGGTTGATTCTAATCTCTTCTCTCCCTCCTCCAGAGGAGTCCAAGACTCCCAGACTACATACCCTACTAGTAACCCAACGCTCAGCATTAGCGTGCTTTCCTGTTTCTCCACGAGCGGCCCCCAAAGCACCGCAGACGTAAGTTGAAGCGGTCTAGACCAAAGTCAGATAGCTCAAGAAATGTCCCTCAGGGGGTGGACCACGGCACACGATCAATCAATACCCTCTCGCTCTCCAAAGAAGATCCACGAAGGAAGCTCATGCATCTATCTCGGCTTCTTCGCGGCGCAAGAAAACCTCGGTGGGATGATGTGTACGCAGCATGTGAAGCCACGGCCAAGTTCTCAAGTCCTGCTAGATGTAGCTAAACTTCTCTGGTCATGAAACAGCCCAAATATCGAGCAGGATCGTCACAAAGTCCCCATCACTCGGCACCACTCTGCCCCCTTCATCGAGACGCCATTGGCGTTGCCTCAGAGTAAGACATTCCCATCGAGCTATCTCGGGGGCAGCTCCGATGGAACCCCTGAAGAAGAAGAACGCCGGTTGCGATATCCGTACGGAGTACCTACCACCGAACCAGTACCACGACTCAAATCCACACGGAACAGGCGAACAGACACAGCCTACTTGACAGCTGTCCGTGGACCCGCGGTCTACTTTGACTTTGGTCCAGCAGCTTGTTAGGCTGTTAGTTGCAGGGTGGCGCGGCGGGCTTGCGTTAGTCGCGAGGCTACGGGTACCTTAGCAAAGCCCAACAGTCGTCGTTGAGACGTGAGAGGGGGGCCACAGACCGAAAATCACATTATGCGGGAAATTCTCTCTCAAGTCGTCTCATAAGAGCTGTTCTAGCTCAGGCGGTTCTTCAGTCACGTCTCTCTCGTATCGTCAGACGCTCCTCAAGAAGAAGCGGCGGTGGACAACAGAGAGCTCTAAGCTCCAGCAACTGCTAGTCTGCCTCGTAAGTCGTTGGTCGAACTGGCAAGGGCGCGTTCAGCGGCAAGCAGCAGGGACCCCGTCCTGATGCCGACGACGAACCCCATCGACAAGATTGCGGGCCAATTTCCATCGCGATAAAAAAGAGAACACGAAGATGCAATCCTGGACATGTCTGTCGATGGTGGCTTGCCCACTTAGAAAGGGCCCCTCACCCCCCGGCTTCTCCCGCATCCCAAGCCAATATCCTCCGAATTTGGGGCGGACGATCCATCGAATTTGGCCGAAACAGGTCGATCCTTCGCATGGGGGACGTGAAGGGGAGTAAGAAACCTGAAGGGAAGACTGTTCCGCCCACGCCGCGCTCCAATAGTTTTCTTCGACCCCGGCGACGAACGCCGGCAGTTGCGCGAGCAAATACGGCACCAACATGCAAGCTCAACATTCTCTGTTCGGATTCCCCATCAACGACACAACCGGCGTCGTCTTCATTGTCTGTGCGGGGGGCTCGAATCGTTCAGTCAGTCAGTCCGTCCGTCAGTCTGCCTGCGAGCGGGTTTTGGGCATCAAGCCGTCCCGAGACATACAATTCGCCAAACACCAACGGGCCGGATGCGCACGGCCAGAGTTCGGGCTGTCAAGGGTGCCGGGGGGATCTTGTTGGTCGTATCCGACAAAGGCAGACCCCAAGCAAGTGTGATATCGAATGAGATCAGATATCAAGATGACCCTGCAGGCCAGTGTCGACGTCGTCACCGCGTTTGTGTATATGCAGTACGTATATTCAAACGCTCTCGCATCAGATCTGCTCTGGGAACATCCATAGGCCAGCACAGGGAATAACGTTGGTGGCGTCAGGTCCAGATCGGGCGGTTTATCATCGTCCGGGATGCCAGACGCACTGGGGAAGTATCATGAGAGCAGAAAGTGAGACCAGAGAGACAAGAATAGCCGCCGCTGGTTCGACCAGCGTCAGACGTTCGACCTCATGGTCTGGCCTTGGCTGGCGACTGACGTGGTGTTGCCCAAGTATTCGTAGAGGACTGCTACTCTAGGGCAAGGATCGACAGACCCGAGTCTGAGCGCCGGCGGAGAAAACTTTTCTCTCCATCCCACGCCTACCTCCTTCATCTTTTCTGCTGATCACTACCGTCCGAGCGTTAGCGGGCAAAGTTTGACAGGACTGCCTCTGGGAACGTTACGCGCTGGTTTGTAGGAGATTGACAAAGAACCTCTGGGTTGTGCCTAGCTCGTCGATGGACCATCCGAAGGTGGGCGTCCGAAAGCCATACGCCGCTCCCGGGATCGACGGCTTTGGGGGCCGGAGGATGCCCGGGTCGCTTGGAGCATCGATGAGCCGGATCCTCTCTGGCGGACGCGGCGATAACCTTGGTTCGCTGTCGCATCGCTTACACGCTGCGTCGGCGATGTCCCCATCATCTGCACTCGATAACTCGGTATATATGCCGTCTGTATAAGAAGAGGCTGGTATGCGTCGACGTGATGAAACTCCAACGTGACAGATGAACAGTGTCGGAAACTGCGAGAGACGGACGAGAAAGCGATAGGAAAAGCGCTATAATAGAAAAACTGCTATTGCAGATATGGACTCCTAGAAGCATGGGCAGAACTATGGGTCCAAGCAACGCGGAGTTTGACAGGGAACATCATTCGATCCGCGATACCACTTCAACGGTCGCCTGTTTCTGGAGAGGGATTGCTTGCCGACAAGGCCTCACGGCGCTCAACTAGGCAGAGCAGATGAAACGACGGTCCATTTCTGGAAAGCTGGGCCGCTTGCCATCCAGTGGCAGC